CCAGCTTAAACTCGGCAAGGTTGAGAAACCCTGCTGTAGGGTGACCCAATCCGTCCCACTTGCTCTGCTGGAAAAATCACACCTATTAACTGCAGCAGTTCCCGTCAGCTTCCACCCCAAATCAGCTCTTGTGGTCATCTCAGTCGAGGGAGGCTTCCTCTTCCCTTCTTTTATCAGATATCAATACCTTGCCCTTTTCCGGTGGGTCTTCCTTGTACTGGTACCCTGCCCAGAGCTAAGAGGGAGAGGAAACTGCAGCTGTGCAACCACAATATCCTAATCTTGCAATCAGTATTATTTTTAACATGTCGAACTTGTAACAAAATATGGCAGTTACATATGGGAATTTCAGCTAACACTGCCGAAAAGAAGCTGGGTCATAGAATCATAGAATCGTATTGCCAATTCAGCCCTCCAGGGCTTCAGAAAAATGTGCTTCTTTCTACCTAGAATTGTTTTAAAGTGGAGATGGTATAGGGTGACCTTCTCCAGCGCCAATCTTCACGCTAACATATGGTGCAATCCTTCCGTAATACTGTACTGAATCTTCTCCTGGTCCCCCGTATGAATGTTGAATAAAGATGTCCTTTTTCTTTGCAAGCTAACTGATTTTCTCGGGGGGTTATTTTAAACCCAGGGGCTGCGGGAGCCGGCGCCATTTTCCGACGAACTGGAAGTGGATTACAGCAAGCCGTATACACGAGTAACATTTGAGGAAGCAGTAAGAGGGACTCCCTGTAAGTGTCAGCATCTGTGTTTCCTAATAACATCAGTCAGTCTGAAGAGCCTGTTTGGTATTATCAGGATGGGGGAGCTGTGTTTTACATCAACCGTCCCACCACCTTGACTCCCAAGACTTTGAACGCTGATGCGATAACCAGCTCAGGCTGGTGATGATCCTGGCAGATGTTTGCTACATGGTCTCCAGGTACTGGGTGACCCACCTTTTCAGAAGAGACAAGGGAGGTCGGGAAAGAACCAGCAAATTCCTGCCCTCACATCTCTGTATACAGGCTTCAAATATGCAAGCAGAATAATCCCAGGAATTCTTGTGTGCTGTTACAACCTCCCCCTAATAAATCTTTGTGAGCTGAGAAAGTTGTTCTAGAGATTAAGCCCTTCCAGTCTTGGCAGCTGTTAGAGAAACATTCTGACAGCTGAGATTTAAGGGGGTGGGGAAAGTAACTCCAGCCTAGCACTGAAATGTCAGGATCACAACCAAGTTGAAATGCGTTTGGAGCCTGACCTCTGAAGGCTTGAAAGGCTCTTAAAACGCTTCTTTTTTGATGGCCTTTATGAAGACGGAAGAATTGTTCTTTTCAGTGGAAATGCTCGATGCCCGTTTACAGTGAGGCCAAGGTTAGATACAGTGCAAACTGATTATGATATTCTGATCCTGTTGAACATGGCCTAAGCTGTGTTAGGATTTTTTACCGTTCTCTTTGCGGTGCATTAAGACATGAGCACATACCACATAAAAATGCTCTATTGCTGTATTGCTGCTAGAATTATTTCTGTTCTAGCTAACGGGCAGGTATATATCAAGGAAATAAATGCAGAACTCTTCCAAATTAGATCTGAGAGAGTGCTGATGGTTGCCTCCCCTTGTCCTTCAACTGAAGAGGCCACTTGAGGGCCTACAGGAACATTTGTGCTTCCCTCCCTCCCCCACTATTTGCCCTAGATAACTGTCCAGGAGGGTACCCAACATCAAGCATATCTGGAATTTTGAGGACAGGCAGTCAGTGGGCGCTTATACAAAATAGGTGCCACAATGGGCAGGACAATCGCAAAACTCCCATTGATGGAAAGGAAGCTTAGGGACAATGTTGCCCCGGTCACAATCTTCCCAGCCTACTTTCTGCCACTTTGCTTGACAGCTGTCATTCTTCAGGGGGGCCCTTCCAGCTAAAGGCTTCAGCCGCACCCAGCCAGCCTTTGCTTTTTCCCCCAAATGCTCTGGGGGTTGACAAGGGACCCAGAGGCATTGTTGAAAAAGAAGGAGGCTGACTTTGCTCTGCAACAGTCCAGTTTTCCACAGACTTTTTAAACAGTCAGGAGGGGCAGGTGGATGCCAGGGAGGTGTCCCCAGACAGACTGATCCCTGTGGTCCCCAGCTCAGACAGCCAGGCAGTACAGGGTCCAGAATTCTTGATTGTAGCAGCGTTTGGTACATTTGGGGGGAATTTACTCCTTCTTTCTCTCCCACAAAGGAGACAAGGCTTTAAAAACCCAATTAGATTGTCCCCTCTTTCACTCAGAAAGAAACCCTAGGCAGCCAACTTTCCTTTTTGTCCCTTCCCCTCTGTCTCCCCCTCGTGGGCCAGCCAACACTGGCCTTTCCTCAGCTCTAGCCGGACTCCCATAAATCCAAAAGAAACTCAGATGAAGCCTGCTGGGTGTGAATTGCAAAGCCTGGTTTTAATTCCACCCAACGATGTTGCTTTCCTCACGGAAACACCGAATAATCCCCTTAGTCCCTCCCGTAAGGTTGAGGTCATTCAAGAGAAGGCTGAGCTACTTTTGAGCTCCGGGGAAGGACCGCTTTGTACCTGTTGTGATGGGGGATCGCTGGCCGATATGTGGGAGGGAAAGACTGGGAGACCCTGGGGGGAGGATGGGAAGAATGAAAAAAACACAGGTCTTCTCACAGCTTCCACCAGCATGGATGCTTGCAGAGGGAACACAGTTTGCGTGTATCCTGTATGCTATATACTTGTTGTATGGTATTATTATTATTTAGATCAGTGTTTCTCAACCCTGGCAACTTGAAGACGGGTGGACTTCAACTCCCAGAATTCTCCAGCCAGCCAGTTTATATGTAAAATGTCCTATATTGAAGCAAGCTGTTAACTTCAAGGACTGTGTTTTGCTTTATTTAAGGCAGGGGGTTTTCCACCCCTTCCGCCTACCTGACTATCGGGGCTGGTTTCGTTTAATCTCAGCTCCCTCTTGTGAGTATCGCACCGGGTGTGCGG